TTTCTTCTTTCCATCTCCATAGAGATCTTTCTGGATTTATTCTGTTTTGTTGTCATTTACGTCACTTGTTAACATAGTCTAACACATGAGGCTGAGAGAAGGGTTGTGTTTCAATGTTTAAATGTTGCTCAAAAGGAAAAAGGAAGCACCTGAATTTCATAACATTGTGTCATGTATCACAATTCCACTAAGTTAAAAAACCCTGCATATAATATCAAAGTCATTAGCAATAAATTAGCTATGGGACCATCACTAACAGAAACACCATAAAAAATATACATCAACTGATCTATTACAATAATGATAGAAGTTACACTATTTCACATTGAACATTATTGAAAGTTACTGAGATGTAAGTCATTCTTACCCATTGCATTACTGTTCATTAAGAAAACACCAAATGACTTTCCAGAAGTATCCTCTATACACATGAAGAATGTTTGGTGACCATATAAGTTGTGATTATTCTATTAAAAAAGTAGAAATTTTCAAGAACATTTAAAACATGTGTAAGTGACCTTGCAAGTTTCAATCCATTCCAGCAATTTACTTTTTCATATTCCTATATTAATGTTCCATACATATATCGTATTTAATCACAAAAGCATCTAACTTTTATCATTAAACCATCTTAACATTGGTCTGGTAATATAATATTTAAGGGGTTTAAACATATAACAAAAATAGTGTACTATTAAGAGTTTCTATTTTTTACTTTTGTACTTTCTCATGATTAAAGTCTTTTGAAAACACTTTTGATATAATAACAAAAACATCATTCTCATACATTATCCCTTACTTATGTCCATTTCATTCTGGTGCGATAATATTTTAAAGCAAGTTTATTAAGAGTTGAGGAGGAATTACAAGATAAGAGATTTGAAATACATTAATTAGGTAAAAAGAAAAAGATTTCCTAACTGATTGGATATAGAAGTTTCAAGTAAAGAATGCATGAAAAAGCAGCAATGAGTTTCTTAACCTAGTGATTAATAAGATAATGATGCTATGAACAGAGGTCAGTAGAACTTATTTGTAGCCTAGGTGCCTAGGTGTGAAAAGGGAGTGATATGAAAATAGAAAAATGAAAGGCAAAATAAAAACTTCATGAACTCTATTGGTCAGATTGATTTAGGTCTTAGCTAGCAATCATCAGAGACTTTTGTTATTTTCATGAAGAGGGTGAAAACAAGTTGTTCCTGGGAGGAAAGGATTTTGTAGCTCTGTCTCACAGACTTAGGGCATGTTGCCGGGAAGAACCAGATCTTGGAAAAGGATGTCATACTTGGAAGGGACAGTACAGGAGAGGGAGATCCTGGATGAGATGGCTTGGCATAGTAACTGAGCTCATGGGGGTAGATGTGTCCGAGGCAGGAGGCTCGCTCAGTATAGGACAGGTTCAGAGCTTTTATACTTAGGGTCATATTAGTTGCAGTTGATGCAACAGCAAATAACAACAATGACATGTTCAAATAGTGTGTTTGATATTTTCAATAAACAATGGTTTCAAGTAGACTAAAATGATCATCTTCTTCAACAGAGCAACCTTATTTAGAAAAAGAAAGATAGTTCCTTACATCACCAGGAAGTTCATCTCTGGTAAAGATTGGCCATGTTTTCCAGTATAAATCGTGACGGAATCTTTTATGAATATGTTCCCCAATACCATACATATAATCAGAGGGAAGTCTTGTTGAGATCTGTAAGTACTGGTCAGAAAACACCAGGGGACCAACAGTGGTGTCAAACCTAAACCAAAAAACAAGCAACATTGAAACATATACATAATGTTCTATTGAATCTAAATTTATGTCAATAATACTGCTATAATTTTAAAGATTTAAGTCGTGGTCTCTTAGAAACACATGAATTACATGACTAGTTAGTTACATAAATATCATTATCAGAATTTGTCAAATCATCATAAATACACCTTTTTACTTGGGTCGCTTCTTTTCATCTCTATCAAAATCTGATACATAACAACTGACATCGATTCCAAATCACATAGTGACTCAGACTGAAAAAAAAAAAAGAATTTATGTTTTCTAAGGTCAAAAACCAGTAAATAACAAAGCCAGCCTTCAAAGCCAGTCAGTTCTAAAATACAGTGTCATACTGGCTTGCACAGCTCTCATGTTCAGTCTGGAAAATCTATATGAATAATGATGGTATAAAGATGGTATTTAAATATTAGAAAAAAACAATTACTGAAATACTAATAATATTAAGAATTATGTTAATAACATTATTGTGATTATTACATGCTGCCAAGTCAGAGGATAGTCATAACTCACACTCTACCATGGTTTTTGAGTTGTAAATAGTACAGGAGGAGATTGCCCATATTCTCCTGTGGAGCAAATGGTAGTCTGGAATCATCTGCATTTGGACTGACAATAAAATTCCTTACCTACTAGGGCACCAGAGTCTTAATAATAAAGGGGTCTCTGGTGGCCTAATGGTAAGGACTTTTGCTTCTAATACAAAGTAATGCAGTTCAAATCCACCAACCACTTTGTAGGATAAAGGTGGGTGATATTCTCCTGTGTCATTTACAACTTCTGAAAACTCAAGGAGAGTCAGTAAGGAGTTGGTTCTGAATCAATGGTATACAACAACAACATGTTAATGATTTTAGGAATGCATTTGATTCAATAAATTAGCAACAGGATCCAATAAGTAACAGATAAAGGACATGATAGAACATAAGATGATACTAGTGGACTTCAAGTATTCAATTATTGTGGTGTTAGAACTGTCATAATAGGCTTTGCTACTTCTTGTGTTAACTTCAACTCAGGGAATGGTCTCTAGCTACCTTAACTGCAAACATCCTGCTGGAAAATTATCAAAAGCTGTGGGAATAATAAAAGAGATTGTTTTTTTTACATTGTGAGGGTGTGAAAAGACACTGTGAGAGATTGTGGGAGACTGTGGCAAGGCATAGCCTGGCAGAACCCTGGAAATAGAGCCAAAATTAAAGGTTTTTCTTCTGGATGATTAAATGAAGGTCTGATTTGTGACTGCTCTGAAATAAAGACCATCAGACAACTGAGGAAATCAGAGGTATATTTGTGCTGCCAAGTTGAACCTAAAATTCCACTTGTTGACTAAGAAGCTGTCAAAACTAATTGAGAAATTAAGTCTTGCTGTTAGTCTGGCTTGGGCCTCACTATGTGATAGCCATTGTCCCTCATGCTTCAATCTGTTTCCCGAAGAAACCGTTCAATGATGAGTAAGGTCTGTAAGTCAATTTGCCATTAACTTTAGACCCAATAATAGAAATAAGAGCAGGGGATTGGGTGATGTTTGTTTGGCGATAATGAAGTGAGTAGAAGTCAGAACTTGGCTACTCTCACATTTCAACTGTATCCTTTACAATCAACATAATGGTATGGAAATAGTGCCTAGTCAAAGTTTCTAACACAGTCAGATGTTTCTACAACAGTGCACAGAATTCATCTTCTGCACATTACACAGGTGGGAAGTGTGTAATTGCTTGTGTTCTAAATCAAAGCTTAAGAACAAAGTCCCAAAATGTTTAAAATGAAGAGACTTTAGGAAGAAAACTCAAAGTGATAGAAAAGAATTGCACTAGTTTTAAGAACTATCCTGGAGATTTTATTGGTAGAGCTATTCCTCAAATGTAATTGAATAATTGAAGACATAGTATTACCTGTCTTACAAAATTATTCTCTCTGAGCATCTAATCATGTGACCAACGAGAGCTTTCTTCAGATACTTAAATTTTTAAAAGAGAGCAAAACCAAATGCAGCTGGTTTAAATATTCCAACTTTTCAAAGTGGAAAAATAAGAACATTCTCCTCTCGAGGCGATTTACTGTCTCTGAAAACCTGCTGAGGTGTCTGCTATGAGTTTGTTCTGACTTATTCATTCATGTTATTGTTAGGTGCTGTCGGATTAAGTACAACTCATAGTGACCCTACAAACAAAAGATCTGAACCTTGCTCTATCCTGTGCTGTCCTCACACTTCCTGGCACACAAGAGCCCATTGTGGTAATCTCTATGTCAATCCCCCTGGCCAAGGGTCTTCCTCTCCTTGGCTGGCCCTTCACCGTTCCCAGCATCAGGACCATTTCCAAGGAATAGAATAGCCCCTCCTCACAACATGCCCAACGTATGTGAGGCAAAGCATCATCATTCTTCTCTCCGAAGAGCACTCCAGCGGCACCCTTTCCAAGACATATCTTGGTTTGCTCTTTTTACCAACCATGGGATTTTCAACGCTACTCTCCAACATCACAGCTCAAAGGAATCAATTATTCTTCTGTCCTCCTTATTCATTGTCCATCTCTCAAATGCATAGCAAGTGGTCAGAGAAAACATGGCCTGAACCAGAAACATCTTCATCTTCAAACTGATATCATAATCCCTCAATAATTTGGAGACATCTCTAACTGCAGATTTTCCCAGTACAATATGTCTCCTTGTTTCCTGACTGCTGGTACCAAGGATGTTAATTGTGGATCCAAGTGAGATAAAGTTGTTGACAGTTTCAGTCTCCTCTATATCCATCATGATGTTGCCTATTGGTCCAGTGGTAAGAATCTCTGTTTTCTTGACATTGAGCTACAATCCATATTGAAGGCTGCATTCCTTAATCTTCTGCAGCAAGTGTTTCAAGTCCTCCTTATTTTCAGCAAGCAAAGTTGTGTCATCTGCATAACGCAGGGTATTAATGAGTCTCCTTCTGATCCCGATGCCACACTTCTCTTCATAGAGTCCAGTTTATCCGATAATTTGCTCTGAATAAAGATTAAATAGATATGGAGAGAGAATACAACCCTGATATACTCCTTTCCTAATTTTAAACCATGTAGCAATCCCTTGTTCTGCACAACAGCCTCCTGGTCTAGACACGGGCTGTACAGGAGCACATTTAAGGGCTCTGGGACTCTTATTCTTCTCAATGTCAGCCACAATTTGTTTAATCCACACATCATAACAACAACAAACTTAAAAATACATTAATGGTTTGTATTATGTGTATGTTAGCTTTATTCTGAAAAAGAATATGTACTTTAAATTGTCACAGACAATTTAGGTTTTTATAAAGCTTAATTTTGGAGTATACTTTCACATAAAGTTATGGGAGGCCTGTGTATCTGTGTTTGTGTGTGTAGATGTTAGTAAAGTCCTATTACAATGACTACATTTTTTTTTACAAAAGAAAAATATGAAAATTCAAACAAGCTCTCAGTATATAAATTGATCTAATATTTCCACCTTCAACCTATATATTGTGTTTCACATTCTAGCATTTCTATTTGAAAGGAAACAAAACCCTTTTGCCATGACAACTTTTGCAAACATGCACAACTACTCTCTTTGGGATATATCTGCTTTTTCTGAAAATATCTTGAAATTAATGATTTCACTACTAAGTAATAATGTGTGTGAGTGTGTGTGTGTGGCGTTGATTGCCTTCAAGTCGAGCACAACTCATAGCGGCCCTCTGAACAAAAACTTGTAAATCTTTATCTAAAATTGTAGACATAAAAAACAAAAATATTACTTACAAAACTTTTCTATTGCTTTTTCTAAGAACTTGGATGCCAAATGGGGCTTCTGTAATCACCACGTCATACAATGTGTCAGAAGCAGCAGGTCCAACAAAACTTTTTACATGCTGATGAGGAACTTCATATCTGCTGTTACTTGGATCCGTAATCTGCACAGATTAAATAAAGACACATTGCTGCTGTTATGATAGTATCATCTATTCAGACCCTACTCAGAGCTGAACCTCCAGCAGGCTTCTAGAGGCTTGTAATTGGCACTGGAGGGCATTGTCTCGCTTTTCTTCTGTGGAGCTAGGAATTCAGTGGATTTTAAGTGCATTGATTAAAAGCTACTACTTAATTTTCTAATTAATAATTAAATAGTAAGAGCAAGTTCTAGGCAGAAAAGCATAACTTTAGAGATGAACTACTAGTCTATTTACAGCCTTAGTTGTAGCATTGTTGAGTAACTATTGCTATGGGCTATGTGTCTCCACAAAAATGTGCATTGGAATTCTTGACCCTTATACTTAGGAATAGGGAACCCTGGTGACTTAGTGGTGAGGCGTTGTACTGCCAATCCAAAGGCCTGAGGTTTGAATCCATTAACTGCTCTATTAAAGAAATACAGAAAATTTCCTGCCACAGGACTGACTGCATCTGGGGGGTCAGCTGAGTCTATTCCAACTCTGGTAGAAAACACTTGTGAAAGTAAATCAGTTTAAGAATAGGCATTTTACTTTGTCATTTTAATGAAGCCATCTTCGTGTAGTTTATCACTTAAATTTAATTACTTTTTAAAGGCAACTCAATTTGTTGTCATTGAGCTAGAAATGAGTCATCGTGAGCTTATTGGTGGATTTCCCAAGCTGTAATAGAATGGGTAAAAATTGCCCACTTTTTTTCCTCGTAGCACCACTTTGTGTATTCCAACTGAAAAACAAAATGGTACTAGTAAAGTACTTGCTAAAAAAAATTAAGAGCAAGAATTTACTTTTGTATTTGTGTTTGCTTTCTAAGTCACAGACTGAAAAAATACTGCGTGTAAGTTGTGTCTACACAATGCTAATATTAATAAATCTCTGAAATTAAATTTTAAATTTATTCTACATAATAATTTTTGGTTGAAATAATAAAAATTGTAAATATTTATTCAGTGCTCACTCATCTCAGGGCCAAGACACTGTGATAAATATTTCACAAAAGTTCTGTTATTTAAATTCTCCAAAAGTGTCTTATTCTACATTTGAGCAATCAGGCTCAGAAAAGTAAACTATCAAATTATTCCTTTTTTTGTTGAAATAAATATTACTATTCAAGAGAGAAAATAGGATGTTGAGATTAAGGAGTTAGCTATGAAATGCTTTTAATTTTTATAATCTTCTTTAGAAACATCCAAACCTTGAACCGGAAACGATTAGGTGTCTGATTTTCAGTTATGACGCGGACAACATTGAGGTCTCTTCCAAATATGGTAGGTGAATTTATCCTCTCTAATTGGGCTTCACGTCCTTAAAGAAAGAAAAATATGGCCATTTGTAGATTTACTGGGTATATGGATTAAAAACCATTAAATATTTTCCATGTTTTAAAAGTAATTCTATTGCTTTTCACAATGGTGAGATTTATTTCCCCTGTAATTTAGATGATAAAAATAATACAAGAAAGAAATATACGCTAGCCAACAGAAGAGGTTTGTATATATACTTCTTATTTATTTTTAATTTTTAAAATGACAGTTGTCCTAGATGCTTTCCTGGAGAAGGAAGGACAATCTCCTCCTGTACCAGTCAGATCTGATTTGATGGTACACACACAAAATAATAAAATTTTTAAAAAAATAATAGTTTTCCAAGAAAAAATTACAACATATTTTCTACTTATATATATAATGGTAAGCCAGTATCATAGAACATATCTTACCTGTGTTTGTGTTTGATATTCTTTGAGAATTGTAGCCATGGTTTTGGGCAAAGAAACACCAAGGAATAATGGAGTTATTCCACGGCTTCCAGCAGCAGCCTCTTTGAATACAAATTGCCTGTTAAAATGTTTTAAAAACAAAGATATATTTTTGCTATTATAAGAATTGTCAATCTTTTTTTTCAAAAGCATTTATTCATAGCAATGAATGATTAATTTCAAAATATACCTTCTTAAAATATAAAAGAAGCTGAAAAATCACCTATTTTGTTCTTTTGGCTTAGAAAAAATACAGATATAATTGACAGATATATTGGCTCTGTACAAGGGGTTGATGCTCAGAGTTGTAATCTATCAAATTCACATTAACGTTATTTTAAGCTCATATATTGGAAAGATTCTTGGTCTCTGAGTAATTACAATGTGTTAAAGTGGTATGATGTTGACGCAAAAGTGCATATTTATTCGTGTGCCACTCGTTCATCAAGCTGCAGATAATGCTATGAAGATGAAAATATAGCTTTACATGCAAACCTAGTTATAAAAAATATTAAAATACTTATTATCAAATAAGGGTTAGTTGAAACTATAACTATTTTAACAAATGAGTGTGCCAGGCTTTATATTAAATTGTTATTGTTGTTGTAATGGACCATTAAGTTGGACTTGGCTCAAAGCTGACTTTCCATTGGGTTTTCATAGGGAGTAAATTGTACAGGAGTAAATTGTATCAATCTTTCTTTGATAAAGCAATTGGTGGGTTCAGATTGCCTGGTTTTGGGTTGTCAATGCACCTCGTTACTACTAAGATAACACTAGAGTTTCCTATATTAAATTAGTATGGAAAAACTATGAATTTTCAAGAATTCATTAATCTGTTAAACTATATGAAATAACTAAAAGGTATAGAAAATTTTAAAAAGTAGAGCAACATAAGACATAGTGTGTGTGTTAATGCCAGCAGAATTTAAAATCTATTTAGAATTTATATTTAACTGTTTGCTATTTGAATATCTATGGGATGTAGATGTATATTTACTTGTTAATTTGATCTGACATACAGAAAAGCAAACTTAGTACCTCCATCAGTTCTTATGTGTTTATTCAGAACACAGTACAGTAATAAATGCAGCCTAATTAATGAACAGATAGATCTTAAACATACGGAATTGATAAAATATTAAATAAGTACTTTAGTATCCTTCTTATACCATTTACATTCACAAAATACTTTAGACTTTTGTGTCACACCTGTGTTGGAAATTGGTCTGGAATGCAATTTATTCTCTCATTGATGTTATCATTTTGATCTGTTGGACATCTTCCTAAAGCTGGTGAATCAGTAATTTCTAGGGGAGAAACACTAAAATAAAAATTTTGATATTTTTTCAGATAATTCAAACAATGATTACATTGCAACAATATATAGATTTATATGTCATGAAAATTAAAAACAAATTGTGTACCAAATACAAATAATTCATAATAAATACAAATACAAATTACAAATACAAATCTTATTGTGAAAAGGAAAAAAAAACAACTAAAAAAAACCCAAGCAAAATACATAACTGTATTACAAAAGAAAAAAAGGAAAAATTAAAAAAAAAAAACCACAATTTGAAATTTGTGCTTTATAAATGAAGAATGAGTATAGAGAAGCACAAAACTGCATACTGTAAAGAGAAGGAGTCAAGAAAGTAGAGGAAAAAAAACAAAATAAGAGAAAGATATTTTGAAGGAAATAATTTGTTAAATAGAAAGCATAAAGCAGAAAATAGAATCAGATCTGTATAAGATGCACAATGTATTTCTATCCTAGTACCTAGAAAAAGACAAATGATTGGACACTGAATAAATGTTAACAGAATATGTAAGAGTAGATCATAAAATAATTTATAACATTTAAATATTTACTTAGTTTCAAGAGGATGATGGAAATACCACTTGACCCAGTAATTCCACTATAGGAATGAATATCCCCTAAAGAAACCAGAGCTGCCACCCAAACATGTATATGCACACTCATGTTTATTGCTACATTGTTCACAATACAAAGAGATGGAAGCAATCCAAGTGTCAATCAGCAAATAAATGGATAGGAAAGCTGCGGTATATTCACACAGTGGAATACTACGCAGCACTGAAAACCAATATTACACAACATGGGTAACCAGGGAGGACATTATGCTGAGTGAAATATCTCTGTCACAAAAGGGCAAATACTGCATCATGCTACTGCTATAAGATAAGGACTGTCATGGGAGTTGGGAAGAAACTACGAAATGCGTAAATACATAATGAACACTGCATTGGAACAGATGGAGGAAAGAACTATTTAAAAGTGATATATGATTAGACATTATCTGTATGACAAAAGTCCAGATTAAGAGGTGTATAGCAAAATGGACTATGGGCAGGGTTGTGGGGAGGGAGGAAATTGTGCAACAATGAAGGAAAATACAACTTTTCTGTAAACTTTTATTATTATCACAATAAAAATTTTTTTAAACACACACAAAGACAAAGTGGATTAGGTATCCAGAGCAGAAAGATCTGGTTCAAACTCAGGATACAGATAGAAAAGGAAGAAAATACTACACAAACCTCCTCAAGCTTTGCTTCACCTTAAACTGCTTATTAAAGGATTTTCAGTCTTATCATAAAAATCTAAAGAAACGCACACACAAACACACACAGAATTTAGTCTAGGACAAAGCAATTCTTTCTAGAAAAGGCCTATTCCCTTTGCAAGCATGCACAAACCCAAAACAAAACGTACTGTGTTATGTTACAGACTAATAATCAAAGGTCACTTAATTGAATCCAAGCACTGTTCAAAGGGAGAGAAATAAGTAAACTTCCAGAAATATTTACAACCTAGAATACCAGTTGTAGTGTACATATGCATCAGAAGAACAGCAGTGGGTTTGGCTTTTGTTCCTTTTCCAAATATCCCAAAACTAGAGCAAAACCCCTAGGTGTCCCACTAATGGAAAACATCTCACTGGTAATGGCGAACGTCCCATCCATGGAACATTAAATACCTTGATTCATACGTCTCTTTGCTATTTCTTAAGCACATAATGTAAGGAAAATCACTAATGTCAAGGCACTTAAATAGATGGATTACGTCTTTTCACTGAGATGTTTGAGTGTATTGGATGGAAAAGTTTGCAGTAATTGCATAACATGGATCTTTCTTCACAAGTTTCATTTCATATACAATTTTCCTTTAACTTTATTATAATGTTCAAGTGTTTTCAATGCTACTTACGTTCAACAGCAGGTGTTTTCGTTGCCAAAACAGCTATTAGGGCAATAGCTATTATAGTAACGATAGCAAAGAGGACAATCAGAGAGAGTTCTAATCCACTGAATTTTTTTCGTGCCATCTAAAATGAAAAAAAAAATCAAGATTGTATTTAAAATACAAAATATATAGCTATATCAACTTGTCACCACGTAATATTAGATAGATACAAAGCCTTTATGTAGGTAAGGAGAACAAGTAGCATACTATGGAAAGGAAAGTCCATGATCAGTGTTCCAGCAAAGCCAAGCTTTTTCTGCTGCCTGGTCAAACCAACCAATCAAATTAGAAACAATGATTGGAGTGGCAAAAACAGAAGCTTCATAAAATACTGATATATTAAGGAAAAAAAGGGCAGAAGCTCAGCGACTTTGGCTGATCTTGGAGATTATGAGGGCTTTTACAGGGTAGGGTAAGGACAATGGAGCATGAGACATTTTTTTTAATAATATCATCTCTCTTTTCCAGGTATATTCAGACTTGTATTTGTCCCATCTTGTCAATGTTCTAAAGTTAGTTGACATCACCAATAGGTCATGGTATCAATGGGAGTAACTCTTCGCTTTAGATTGCAGGGGTAGACAGGCAAACAAACATTAATACAAAGTGCTTTAGTTCGACAAGGGACGTATCATTAACTTCTCTGCTAGGCTAACACCAACTTTCTTTCAACTATTATAAAAGAATATCAATTTCACATTAGTGATTTTTTTAACATGACAAAAGAGGGTTTACTTTTACTCCTCCTACAGAATCTGTATCTTCCTCTTCAAGGGTCTGTGACAATGCCGCCTTTTGGGTTCTGAGTATATGTTCCTGACCGAAAAACAGGGTTCAGGACTCACTCGGTACTTAAGAAGACCCTCTTACATCCAGTGTTGCTATATTAACGTGGGGCATTCTGAAAGGTTAGCATTAATTAATTAACTAATTAATGATTATCATTTTATCCATTAGTTGCTAAAGAGGTTTTTGTTTATCTATCCCTTAACAATGTGTTAATTTCAGTTATTACAGGGGTTTTTGTGAAAACCTATATGACTTTTATTTATTTGTGAAAATCTATTACTTTTTTGTTGGTTGCAGTTAGTATTTATGCAGCATACAGAAGGTATCTAAAAATAGTTTTCAAATAGATTTTCTCAAGTAACGCATCTTGAAGCATTTGCACTCATTTTATAGCTCTGCTGGCCTAGTAGTAAAAGCTGTGCTCCTATCCGGAAGGAACGTGGTTCAAGGCCACCAGCGGCTCCACAGGGGAAAGATGGGCAATCTCCTGTCTGTTCTGACTCTATGCTACACCATCACCAAACCAATGCATCTATCATCTCTCCTAACCTTCAAGTTTTCATTAGTTTTCACACTCGATAATCTTAATATAAATTTAAATTCAATGACAAAGAGATTTCCTATTGAACAGAGTTAGTGTTCAGAGGCATGAATGGTTTCTTAATAAGTAGTCTCACTGCGTGATGTTATATTCAGTAACAATTGAACTTTGCTGACTTCACGGTTGGAGGAGTTGGGTGGGCAACTCGAATTCTAATTTCCGAGCTGCTCTGTGGAAGGAAAAAAATAGACAATCACCTCCGTGGGATTTACTGTCTCTCCAAATCTGCTGTAAGGTGAGCTATGAGTAGGTTTTGACTCAATAGTCCAACAACAACAAGAATTATAATGTTAAAACTAATGATTATGCACTGCCGGGCTAGACTCATAGTGACCTTTCAACAAGGACAATGTTTAACAGAGGGAGGAGATTGCCAACATTTCTCTTCCTTCTCTTGTTCCTTGCCCCAAGTCTGAATGACTCACAGCTGACCTTCCAGAGGGTTTTTAGAGGCAGAAAATAAGAGGAGATGTCCCATCCTTCTCCCATGCAGGAGCAGGTAGATTAGAACTGTGTACCATTGGGAATGCAGCACAATTTCTTACCAGTAGGACACACCAGAGCTCCTGCTGTGTAGATTCAAATTGCCGACCTTTTGTTTACAAAATTGACGTACTGCACACTCTGCCACCACGGTTCCAACGTCATGATTTGGTGACCCATTTCAATCTATCTAGTCCTTGATTAAATTTAGTGCGAATTCTCCGATCTTAGGTGTTTAACTATTCCATGAACTTTGAGCACCTTTATCATTTTCACCTTTAGAAAAACCTCATATAAATATCAACTCCATTATAATATTTTAAGGCTTTACTGTGTCTAAATCAAAGAGACAGTTATCAGACACCTGTTTTTGCCTCTTCCTGAATGATTTATCTTAACTATGCCCTTCCCCACACTTCTTAAAAGTTACTTTTTTATATATTCCTTATCTTCGGCATATTTAAATGCTTATACTCACTTGCTAACTTTTCTTTTTCTAGTCAAGTTCTTAGGGTCAGTATGAGTCATGCTCAACTCAATGGCAGTCAACAACACAACCACAGTCAAGTTCATAGTGTCATTATATATTAGTCTTTTTGTCATCTTTCTAGTAATTCCATTCACTCATTCAACGCATTGCTAATGAGTCTTAACTGACTCATGACTGGCTCTCTAGTTGGTTTCCAAGGCTATAAATTGCATGGGAGCAAATTGTTCATCTCTTCCCTGAGTACTGATAGATTTAAATTGCCAGAGAGACAAAACATTTTAGTTAGCAGGGCTGTGAACTATGACATGTTGCCTCCAGCAATGGGTTCAGGTGTATCAGTGTTGATGAGGACGGCACATGACAGGACAGGATGCAGGTCTGTTGTTCACAGGGTCGCCATGACTTGTACTCAACCCCAGGGCACCTAACAACAATGAAAATGTCACCAGAACTCTCTAACAATTTTAGTAGTTCAAGTGGTTTGTCTATATTCAATTTACCAACTCTAAATTTGTCAAAATCATAAAGTCTTTCTATTATAGTCATTATAAAATTCTGCCTATTCTTATTTTACTGTCTCAGTCATGTTTTATTGTTGTGATGTGCACTGTAGAGTTGGGCACAATCCATAGCTGACCCTCCAGGGGGTTTTCAGAGGCAGTTAATCACACGGGAGGAGAATGCAGATTCTTCTCCCTCATAGCAGCTTGTAGCCTCGAACTGCATGCTTTTGGAATTGCAGGACAGATTCTTGCCACTAAGAAACCAGAGCTCTATCAGTTTGCCTAATAACTATGGTCCACAATTGCCAAGAAAAACACCACAGCTTATTCAAAGTATGCAAATGCATTTACTGTTTCATTCTATAAAGCTTATAAGAAGATAATTGTTGATCACAAGCAAAGTAACTAAAACGAAATAAAAATTGTTCTATTATTCTACTTTTCAGGACTTCCATGAGCGTATGCACTATTAGGTTTACTTTTTATGCATTTTTATGTCAGGTTATATAAGTCAAGCATCTTCAAAACACTAATAGAATCAAGTAAGTTTACAAAAGGGAGCTCTGACATCCTAGTGGTAAGGAACTATTCTGCTATCCTAAAGGCATGTGGTTCAAAAATCTACCGGTTACTCTGTAGGAGAAAGACGGGAAGTCTCTTCCTACGTGATTTTTCTACTGCCTTTGAAAACCGCTGGACAGTCAGCTACGCATTAGATCTGACTCAGTGATACACCACAATGACAACAAGTTTACAAGAGCCCCAGAATGCAAATGGTTAAGCAGTCAAAAGATTGACTGTTCCACATATCCAGAGGTACCCAGGAAGATAAGCTTGATATAGTCCCAAAGGACTATGCACATTAAGTTGCCAAAAATTAAGCCTGACTAGGTGATAACTATCGATTTGTTTGAGTTTCAAACAGTCAATACACAAATTATTTCTTTCTGAAACGGTATCAGTGAGTTGGGCATGCAGAAGAAGAAAAAAAAACCAACTTATTTCTTCTCCACTGGGTCTATATTGAAGCAAATTGCTAAGGTTGCACACAAAGTAAGTTCAAGTATTCTTTGTCAGTGTTACTGTTATAAGATGTTCTTGAGTTGAGTACAACTGATAGCAGACCAAGGAACACACATCTGAACTTTGTTCAATCGTGTGTCCTTCTCATCATCTTTGACGTACTTGAACTCATTGTAATCACTGTGTCAATCCATCTTGCTGAAGGTCTCTCTCTTTCACTGACCCTTCACCTGTACAAGTATAATGTCCTTTTCGAAGGAATTATTCCTCTTAACAACATGCCCAAAGTATGTGAGAAGAATCTTTGTCGTCTTTGCCTCTAAGAAGCACTCTGGTTGCACCTTCTCCAAGACATATCCGTTGCTTCCTTTCACAGCCCATGGAATATTCAGTAATCTTCTCTCACCATATTTAAAGGTACTGAGCCTCCTGGTATCATTATTTGTTGTTCAGCTCTCAGGTAAGCAAGTGATTGAAAAGGCCATGACCTGACATCGTTGCTGCTTAGTACTTTGGAGAAGTCCTTGACAATGAACTTTCCCAAGGCAATACTGATTTCTTGCCTGCTCGTACCAACTGTTGATCAAGGATCCAAGTAAGATGCAATTATTGACAATTTCAATCTTTTCTATATCATTTTCTTATGTCTCTAAATATTAACTTCAATACTGATTCCTAACCCAACTTAAACACTTAATTCCTCCAGAAATGCTCTCTACACTGCAATTCTGCCATTTAATTCTCTGCAGTATTTCAAGATTCAACCCCAAATTTAGATTTCCATGAAGGATTTCCTGACTATACAGACCCAAGTCTTCCCCTGGCTCTCTCACTATTTTTCTAGGCCTAGAAGCAAATCCTTAACCTCTCTGAACACTATCATTCCTTTCCTCTGTAAAATGGTGAGTCTAAAATATTGTGATATCAAACTTTATGCTTTAAGTGTCTGGTTTGTTTTTGTTTGTTTGTTTGTTCTTAATGCCATCCATTGACAAATAGAAGTTATTTCTCAGTGGATAAAAAATTTTCTGATTTCAAAATTGAACTGAATACACAAAGAAATGAGGGTACAAAATACTATACAGCAATGAAAAATGATGAACTTGTTAAACACTATCCATCATGAATGAATCTGGAAGACATAACGCTAAGTGAAAAATCTCTGTCATATAGGGACAAATGCTATATAAGCC